TTTCACGTATTTCTGTTTCTCTAAATATATACCAGTCTTCCCTTTCTAAAGCTCAGGGTCTTTTTGATTTGGTTCTCCTCTTTTTTCTTTTAGGAATGGCTGAGCATATTTAAATATGCAAGGCTCTGTTTTCGTCAACTATTCGAAGGGAGGAGCTCTTGTTCTTGACGGGAGTGAGCTGATGCGCTTGGGTCAACAAATTTTCTACAAATAAACTACAAATCAGTTTAAGTATGTATAAAGCAATATTGTTTTAATGGTATCTACAAATTACATATTTATACTACAATTAAACTGCAATCTATATTGAAAAAAAATGTTGACTACAAAATTTTCTCCTAATCTACAAATTTTCTACAAAAAATCTACAAAGAAACTACAAATCAGTTTACGTATGTATAAAGCAATATTGTTTTGAAGGGTATCTACAAAATTACAACATTTATACTACAATTACACTACAATCTATGTTGAAAAAAAAATGTTGACTACAAAATTTTCTCTTTATCTACAAAATTTCTACAAATAAACTACAAATCAGTTTAAGTATTGTATAAAGTTGTATTGTTTTTAAGGGTATCTACAAAATTACTACATTTATACTACAATTAAACTACAATCTTATGTTGAAAAAAATGTTGACAACAACATTTGCTCTTCATCTACAAAATTTCTACAAAAAACTACAAATAAACTACAATTGCACCCACACTGTCACACTTATATTGGGTCAGATGTTTGTTAACCTAAGTTTTTTTCTAGTTTGGTCAAGAACTTGTGTGTCAATGCCGGATAAGTGTGACACTTGAAGAATCTCTACCTTTAAAGAACCTCTAAATTGCCTAAAAAGACAATTTATTTAATATTGAAATAATATAGACAAAATGGAGCCGGAGGTTACAGAAGATTCATATGGCTACCCCACAAATTTACAATTGAGAATTGTTGAGTTGATTGATCGATTGAGGAAGTCTTCTGTGTCATACATCTATTCTCGATCTCGTAGTTATTAAAATTCAAAACAATATCTGACAATTACCAGAAATTACAATAACCGAAACAATGAGTTTCATATTGAATCTCTTTGGCTAAAAATCTGATTATACTCAATGAGTCTCATCTCTGTATTTTTTTAGAAGAAGAAGGAATGGAGAAGAGAAAGAAATGGGAGGGGGAAAACGATGCTGGTCAGATCTTAGAAATTAAGGGGAGAGAGAAACGTGGGATATATGGATACCTTTAATTAAGGAGTAAAAACTGCCAATTAATTAGACCCTTAATTAAGTATGGTATAAGATTGGTAATTTGGTATACGGGTTTGTAATTAAATCAAATCTTAAACATTGAGGGTAGTAAGGTTTCCTATGTGGTATAGGAAGGTAAAAATCCCTTTTTTTTATCCTTTAGCCCAAAATTAAAGATCCAACTCTTCCACATTCCATAGCCCATTAAAGCTTCTTCAAATTTATTCTTGAAAAAATGATACTGTATAGCAATCTGTAAAAATATTAGTCGAAAAATGTATAAAATTTGTATATATATTATATATATATATTTTGTATGTTATATACAAAAATTATATAAAATTTATACACTTTTTTGGCTACCAAATGTAAATAAATTCTGGCGCGGGCTGAAAGTGATAATACCTCTTTATTCTTTATGCATCTTCTGCCTTATCATATAAGCACACTTCAATTCCCAGTGCAAAGCTGCATCTTTGATCAAGATTTGAAGTCGTTGAGTGACGAATTTGCTTCATCCTTGCTGCTGGGTTTAAATTTTTTTTTTTTTTTTGTTCCTATTATGTGAACCTTTGGACATAAGATCTTTATGATTTTTTAAATAAAATTTACATAACTAAGTAAAAAATACTATAAGTCACAGTAAGTAATAATTTAAAAGGCATATATGAAACAATTGCAGTAACAGAACAATTCATTTTTACACTCGATTGGCCACAGATGGAGTGTTTTTCTAGATTATCAATCAATACCTTATAAGAATAAAGTGATCAATAATTAAATACTCCTTAAGTTCCAATTTATTTAGATCTATTCGCTTTTCTAAAGCTAAATTGACTAATCTTTGAAACTAAATTGAATTAGATTAACTCATTATTTTAAAGTTTTAAATATATAAAAATTATGCGAAAAGTACTATAAATTACAATTCTTCTCATATCAATATGATAAAAAATACATTTCAAAAGGTTAGTCAAAATTTATATAGTTTGAATATCAACAAATGAATAAGTTCACATAAAATGAAACAGAGGGGTTTGTTTTAAGTAACCTGCCAGCGTAATATAATACTTAAGCTCTTCCTAAATAACTTGAGAATTAGGATAAGCTGCCTCATTAACCATTTTCAAAAGTTAAATCAATCTAACTTGCTCGCACTCCACGTTAGGGGCTAGCTATACAGGGATTAGCAGTCTAATCTAAGTTGATTTAGAAAAGTTCAAAGTACATCAAGCTAGAATTTAAGTTGCCAGCCTAGCATGCACGAATGACCACACATTCTCATGTATTCGAAAATTCTTATGCGTAGAAACTCTATATATATCTACATAAGATGTTTGTCAAACAGATCGAGATATCCATTATATTAGACACAAGTCAAAAAAGCTCAGTAGTTTTACTGTTTAAACATGGAGTCTCTTTACTCTAGCATCCATTACTGGCTTGTTGACCATCCGAACATCAGCCAATTCGAGTGGAAACAGGGCCACAATTTTGGTTCCTCCCTACTTTTCCTCACACTATCAGTGTCTATCTACTTGTCCTTCACTCTATTATCTCTCAGATTCTCAACATTACTTCCCAGCATCTCTACTACCACCATGCGCCCCATTACAGCAGCCCACAGCCTCATTCTCTGTCTCCTCTCTATCATCATGGTCATTGGCTGCACCCTCTCTATTCTCCATCAAATGCCACCCAATGATTGGACGTGGGTCGTCTGCTTCCCCGCCAATCATACTCTTACACGTGGACCAGTGTTCTTCTGGATTTATTTCTGCTACCTTTCCAAGATTCTTGAATTCATAGATACCCTTCTAATCATACTCAGCAGCTCTCGCTCGCGAAGGCTGTCGTTCCTCCACATCTACCACCATGCAATTGTGACTGTTCTCGCTTATGTCGGGCTCCAGGCTTCTCAGTCGCAGTTAGGTCTTGCTGTCATCATTAATTCTTCGATTCACGTTCTAATGTATGCCTATTATTTCCTCTCTGCTATAGGAAAAAGGCCGTGGTGGAAGAAGCTGGTCACAAACTGTCAAATTGTCCAATTCATGTTTGGCTTTCTATGTTCGGCTATAATGTTGTATTATCACTTTACTAGTGAGTTTGGATGCACCGGCGTTGGGTCTTGGTGCTTCGGTTTTGCGTTTAATGCCTCACTTTTGGTGCTCTTTCTTGATTTTCATTCCAAAAACTATACCAACAACATCAAGAAGGAGCTGGACAAAGACAAATAACTCTATCATACCGACTATTTTATACTCTATGAATCTATGTATTCATTGATTATTTGTACTGCTTGCCTACTTTTTACTTCCATTTTTTTTTAGAAACAACCACCTAAAGGTGGTTGACTTTATTGAAAATTAGAGATGGCAAAGTTGACCCAGTAATATGTAATCCGCCTAAGCTTTAATGAGTTGGTTTAGTGATATTTTCTTTTCGGGATAGTTTGGGTTGTAACCCAAGCTGACCCATCTTCCAGGCTGGTCAATTTGGGCCAATGAACGGGTCAGCATATCAACCCGTGGAATTGCATTAATATTCTACCTTTAGCCCCTACGTCTTTCCATTCAAAGCTGGAGAGTGCTTGCATTTACTGCGTCCTTAAAATTCCAGCACCTAGATACTGTACTTCCACGTTTTATTCTATTCTCTTTCTCTTGATTTTTAGAAAAAACAATGTGATGGACTTAACCAAGATCCTTTTATCTTATATTGAAAATAAGAAAAAAAATATACTTTTGTATGTGTTTACCCTTAAAATTGGATAACAATTAAACTTATAATGTGTTTTTAAGGACACGTAATTTCACCTAATACCAATTGATAAATGTAAAGAGTAATAATAGAAATTAACAATAAAATTAAGCAAACTGGTGTATGAAAGGAATTCAGCCCTCGAGTTTGAATACCCTCGAATTGATAGATGCAAGAACACTTAGAAATATGACAAGCAGATGAACAAGAATATAAATTGGACAGAAAGTATTGTACTACTTTGATATCTGTCAATGTAAGGTGTTTACCAAATCATCAGAACCTTCTTTATATAATAGAGGAATCCTATCAATGGTACAATTCTAATTACGGAAGTAAATCCCATGATTAGCCTAAACAATCGCCCTTGATTGGATCTGTTCCGGGATTTTTGACATGATCTTCGACCGGTCACGGATATCTCGCTTTTCCGTTATTGCGCTTTGCTTGAAGTTTGTAATATTTGATCTCAATCGCTGCTGGCCTCGATCTTGACAGGCACCTCGATTCTCGAACTCGATACCTTGTCTTCGTGCTCTGGTCTGATCTACTACGAGGCTGGCCTTCGATGAAATTACCTAATCTCGATCAAATAGTAAAATCGGGTTGGCTCGGTTTTAACCGAATACAGATAGTCCCCACATTTCTTAAAGTATAATGAGAAGAAACAAATTGAGCCTTCGATTTTGTACCTCGACATGTCGTGACGTCATCCTCGTGACGTAAGCGACTGAAGCGTCACGTCGGTACAGTTTCCAAAATTATTAATGAGCGTCAGTTGCTGGTCGGCCACTAGTGCCTTTGAACTATCGCCGTGAATCCCTTAAATAGGCCCCTTTTCTTATTGATTCAATCTTTACTTTCACTTCCTTCTAATCCCTTAAGCTTTTTACATCTCTTAAACTTTTCCGTTATATATAATCTCTAGTTTTTAATTGTCAACCTTCCCTCAAAACACCAAGCCTTATTCTCTTCTTCCTTCTTTATACAAAAATGGCAAAAACATCAAAAACCGTTCCTCAAAAGGAAAAAACTTCTTCATCGCAGCCGGCCGGCGATAAAACACCGGTGGAGCCACACCTTGATGAGTGTGTTCCTGGGGGGTGTGAACTTACTTCCGACTTCAAAGTCAAGAAAACTTCATCGGTCCTTGGTCGATGCTAGCCAATGTCGAGATATATATATATGCTTGATAACTGAGAGTGACCTTGAGCAGGTGAAGAAAGACTGTCATTGGGAAGATAAGGTGGTGGTGATTCCGGCTACCGAAGAAGATATCACTACCCATGTAAAAGGGTTTCTAAGTGTTTACACTTACCTTTTCATGTTGGGCCCAGTCGACCCCGTCATTATCGATTTTTGCCACCAATATCAAATAACCCTAGGTCAGATTCATCCCTCTTTTTGGTAGATTATCATTCTGCTCCGATTCTTCGCGAGCAAAGTCGAAGGGATGTTTTTCACCCTCGACCACCTCATCAGGTTGTACAGCCCCTGTCTCTATCGAGGTTGGTTAATAAGACTTCACCATCGGGCTACAAAAATGATGTTCTCAAGCATAGATGAGGACAAGGATCGAGGATGGATGGGCTGGTTCATTTGAGTGAAAACTTCCGACCTAATCCCAGCTAAGAAGATGCCATTTCCCGAGAAATGGAATATGAAGCATAAGTACAATCACACATATATCCTTCATTTATTGTTTCATTTCTTTTGCTTCTTCTCATCAAAATCCCTTTCTATGATGTAGCGATCTCTTGGATGCCTAGTGCAATTCCTAACCTCTAGAGCTGGGTTCGGAACCTGGTTTCGACCTCTTCGTATGCTGAGCGTTCATGGTGCGATTTAGAAAGGGGCCAATGGGAGGCCAGAAATCATGGTAAGTCCAATTTCACGTATTTGAAGATCTTCTATGATATGTATATTTTCATACTAACTTGATTTCCTTTCATACAGGCCTCAGAGAAAATGCTGTCATGAGGCCCCCATCCGGGGAGGAAGAGTCATCGCCCCCAGCTCCGAAACCGACGAAGGATAAAAAGAGCAAAAGGGTCTCGACCTCTGAGGACCCAAAGCCCAAGAAATGTAAGGCTCATAAGTCGAAGAAAGACACCGCCATCCTGCCTGTGAAGGTAGTTCAACGGCTAAGAGAGGAGGAAGAAGAAAACGAGGATGACGGCTCCGATCTAGCGGCCTTAGTGAAGAGGAACACTGAGTCTACAAAGGCCTCTAAGTCGGTGAGGGTTGGAGAAATTCAGCCTCGAACCGAGAGGATCTCGGAGATGGAAGATGTCTCCAGCCGAGATGAGCATTTGGCAGGTATGTCCGAAGGGACCGGCTCTGAGGCCCTTCCAAATGAAGAGAACGCCCCAAGTGATTCACTTGGGGCAAAAGAAATTGGAGACTCCGTGCCGCTTCATTCATTCTCAGAAGGGGAAGTTTGGGAGGCTCAGGCTATGAAGGTCCCTCAAGTAGAAGGCGCCCTCGGGGAGGACCTTTTCCAAAGTTGTTTTGCTGGGGTCAATGATCTTGCTAGCTTGAATAACTTGGACGTATCGAGGAGGAGCTTGGGCGAATCCTCTTCGAGTTTTAGATTGACCAGCCAGTTTCCAGCCCCTAGTGTCGATCCTTAGTGCAAAGGGACCATCATTATTACTGTCCCGGAGGATACACGAGTTTTTGCTGCCCCGTAGGGGTGGCCAGTTACCTTCAAGGTCTGGTCACTGAGGAAGATCAAGCTCTGGTGGACGTGGTGGGAGCACCATGCCTCTTTAATGAGGCCTAGTAAGCTTTGAATCGGGTAAGTCCTAACTTTTTCTGTTGATGCCGGTTTTCATACTTGTATTTTTCTCTCTTTGCCTAATTCTTTCCCTTCTATTTTTGTAGGCCTCTGTACTTTATCATGAGGCTTTCTTTTAGTTTCGAAGAGAGTTGAGCCGATATGAAGCTGAAATTCGAGGGCTCACCGAGGAGAAAAGTGCTCTCAAGCTTCTTGGTGAGAAAAAAGAAATGGAAATCAAAGGTCTCCGAGCTGAGTTAGCCATGGCCCAAAAAGAACAAAGTGAACTGTCTGAGCAGGTAAATAAAGTCGTAGATATTTATGGCCTCGGTTTGGAAGTGATGGCTAATGATTCGATCTCATAGGTCCAGCGGCTGAATGAAACAATCGTGCAACTCTGAGAAGAAGTAGATGAGATGAAGGCGGAGACTTCTATGTGGAAGCAAAAGATGGATTGCCTTGCTTAGAGAAAGAGGCAGCTCAAGCTTACTTATCCTCAACTGAAAGCCAACTCCAAGGCATGAAAGAGAAGAGCTTGGAACAAGCCAAGAAAATGGAAGAGCTACATGTTCGGTTTGACACTAAGATTGCAGCGGCTAAATATGAGGCTGAGGCGGTTAAGGCCGATGCTGAGGCAATCACGGCCGTCTACCGATCTGACGCCGAGTCCACTAAAGCTTGAGCAAAAGAAGTTTTTGATGTTGCTCTGGCTCGAGCATACTGTGTTTCCGAACATGCCAAATGCCAGTCTCGAAGAGAGACTCTTGAGGAGATTCATGCTCGTAGCTTTAACCTTGTTATCGATATTGAGAATGCGAAAGAGCTTGAGGCTGAAGCCGAGGCATTGCTATCTTCTGATGATGATGATTCTGGGAGCGCAAGTGGATCCGAGAGTGGAGGAGAACCCGATGGCGAGGATGTAGCTCCCGAGGTGAATTAGGCACATATGCTTTTTCTTTTTTGAATTTTTGTGTAGGATCCTGATCGCTCCTTGTAAATACTTTCATATATATAAAAGATCTCTTTGCTTTCTAACTTATCTTTATTTCATTTTCTGCCTTGTGAAAATTCTGTTTCGTCTATGCCTTGTTCATGGGTACAAAGACTTAGGCAATTTTGTTGAAGTCGGACAAATGTAGTCTTTGTAATCCAGTGAGTACTTGCTCGAACTCGAAGTTGGATGACCCTTAGGTTTTAGTTGAGCGAGGATGACTTATTGAACTCAAAAAATAGGATGACCCTTAGGCTCTTGAATTAGACCGATATGGCGTTAAAAAGAATGGCTTTTTTCCCTTTTCGGCTTAAAAGGTTAATCATATAAAAATTTGTTATGCCTCAACACAAGATAAACTTGTACCCATTAGGGTTTTCGAGGGTTAGTGCTATCGAAACCCTTTGCTTCATTATGCCTTAGCATGAAATAAGCTTGTTCGGTAGTTCGAACAATTCGGTACCCCTTAGGGTTTTCGAGGGTTGATGTGATTGAAACCCTTTGTAAATATGCCGAGGATAGCCTTTTAACCCGGTTATGGAAATATTTGAAGGCCTATTTTATTACGGAATACGGATGTCTCTGAGCCGTGTTGGTTTGGTTGTTGCCTTTGACTTGGGATTTGCCTCTTGGGCTTGTTTCCCGGTTATACTTCGAATTTGTTCGAAATGTCAATCCCTGAGTGGGGTGGCGGTGGCCTACAAAAATAAGGGTTATCTTTTTAAGGTCTTATAATCTCGAGATTTTAGTAGTTCGATTACATCGATTTTTTGAACGGTAGTCCCCAAGTACGGGGTAAGTTGTTTGAACTTTAGTTGTGATCGGCCCTTAAGACTGTTTCCACAATAGATCAAAAGTATGAAATTGTAAAGTAAAAATTTCTTTAAGGCAAGAAATATTTGGTAGGAAAAACACTCTCTCAATAGATTATACATGCGTACATATTTGCCTTCAGGGCTCGAGTGATCTAAATGGGCATGGTTTGTTTGACCCTTTTGCCCTTACAAAGTTTTACCTATCGAGACCTTATTGACACGAAGTAACTTCCTTGTAACAAAGTTAACATCCGCGGGTGATGCCGCCTAGTATTCAAGGTTGATTGTAAATAAACCTCAGATACTGTTAAGTTACTCTAATTTAGCATGAAAAATGGTTGCCTCATTAAAAACCTCACCGGAAAAACCCATTTGGGATAAAACCGATCAAAGGAAAAATAGTGCAACACATGCTTTCAGACCTAAGGTCTTTGTGATGAAGGATCCTTCGATATCTTCAGTTGAGCACATGTAATTGGTTAGTATAAAATGCAAATGAAAATAGAGAAGATCATACCTTAACAATAGTATCGTTTGAAAAGTGATATGTTCCAATTGTTCGGTAATTGCTCACCATCCATCGTGTTGAGTTTGTAAGATCCCTTTTCGATGATATCGAGAACCTGATATGGTCCCTCCCAGTTCGGGCCAAATTTTCCTTTATTTGGATCTTGAGTATTGAGGGTGACTTTTCTCAGAACCAAGTCCCCGGTTTTAAAGTGTCAAAGATTGGCTCTTAGGTTGTAATACCTCTCAATCCACTGTTTCTGCGCAGCCATTCGAACGAGGGTGGCTTCCCATCTTTCATCTAGCAATTTGAGTCTTATATTCATAGCCTCATGATTTGACTCTTCCGTTGTATTTCGAAACCTAAAGCTAGGTTCCCAGACTTCGATCAGTATCAGAGCTTCGACACCGTAGACTAAGGAGAACGGTGTTGCCCCCGTACTAGATTTTGACGTTGTTCGATATGCCCGAAGGACCTCGGCAATATTTCTCTCCATTTTCCTTTAGCTTCATTCAAACGTTTCTTCAGATTTTGGATTACGGTCTTGTTTGTCGATTCGGCCTGTCCATTCCCACTAGGATGGTACGACGTTGACATGATCCTTTTTACTTTGTGGTCTTCAAAAAACTTTGTCACTTTGCTGCCGACCAATTGTTTTCCATTGTTGCATACGATCTGGGCAGGCATTCCGAATCGGCATATAATATGGTCCCAAATGAAGTCTATGACTTCTTTTTCTCTAACTTTCTTGAAGGCTTGTGCTTCAACCCACTTAGAGAAATAGCTAGTCACAAACAAAATGAATTTAGCTTTACCTAGGGCCGATGGTAGAGGGCTGACGATATCCATCTCCAATTTCATGAACGGACACAGGATAGGACTGAGTGGAGTTGCGCTCCGGGCTGGTGGATCATCGGCGCATACCTTTGACATTTGTCGCACTTTTGAACAAATTCTTTAGTGTTGTTTTCCATATCGACCCAATAGTATCCTGCTCTAATGACTTTATGAACCAATGATTTGGCACCAGAATGATTTCTTCTAGTGCCCTCGTGAATTTCCCGTAGAACATAGTCGGTGTCTCCTAGTCCCAAACATTTCGTTAATGGTCTATCAAATGTTCTCCTACATAGTGTTCCATCCTCGGTCAATGTGAACCGTGCTACCTTTGTGCGCAGAGTCCTCGATTCTTTAGGATCCGATGGCAGCTTCACGTTCTTTATGTATTCGATGTACTTATTCCTCCAATCCCAGGTTAAACTTGTGGAGTTTATTTCGGCATGTCCTTCTTCGATAACTAACCTTGAAAGTTGTACGATACTCCTCGAGCTAAGTTCATCGCCTTCGATCGATGACCCCAAATTTGCAAGGGCATTAGCCTCGCTATTTTGTTCTCGATGTACGTGCTGTAGCGCCCATTCTTTAAATCGATGTAGAGACACTTGTAATTTGGCTAAGTACCTCTCCATTCGTTCTTCTCGAATCTCGAAAGTTCTGTTGACTTGATTTACCACAAGTTGGGAGTCACATTTGACCTCAATGATCTCCGCTCCCAAGCTCTTAGCTAGCTCAAGACCTGCAATCATGGCCTCATACTCGGCCTCATTGTTTTTCAATTTCGAAGTTTTGATAGACTATCTAATTATATTACTTGTGGGTGGCTTCAAAATGATGCCTAGCCCGGATCCCTTCACGTTCGAAGATCCATCTGTGAAGAGGGTCCACACCCCCGATGATGTACCATATTTCAATAATATTTCCTTTTCAACCTAGGATACGAGGGCTAACGTAAAGCCGGCCATGAAGTCTGCAAAGATTTGCGACTTGATGGCCATTCGGGGTTGATACTCGATATCGTACCCACTGATCTCGATGGCCCGTTTGGCAAATCGGACATTGAAAATATGGCTTTAATTTCGTAGAGGCGCTTATTAAAGCTAGTGCTAATTTTTCTAAGTGTGGTTATCGGGTCTCGGCTTCACCTAGGGTCTGACTAACATAATAAACAGGAAATTGAGTATCTTGCTCTTCTCGAAATAAGACCATACTTACCTCTATCTCCGAGACCGCTAAGTATAGGTAAAGTTGCCCATCCACCTTTGAGGTGTGAACAAATGGCGGGCTCGACAGGTAACGTTTGAGTTCCTCCAAAGCCTGTTGATATTTTGGTCCATGCGAAGTTGCTCTTTTTCTTAAGCAGTGAGAAGAAACAGTGAGAATAAATCAACCCATGGCGGTTATGTGTCCCGTTAACCTTTGTACACCCTTGTCATTATCAACAACTGTGATGTCTTCGATTGCCTTGATTTTATCGGGGTTGGTTCGATTCCATTATTTGATACCATAAAGTAGAGGAATTTTCCAGAGCCGACCTGAATGCATATTTCTCAAGGTTAAGCTCCATGTTGTACTTTCTCAGTATGTTGAAGGTCTCCTACAAATGTTTCAAATGGTCCTCTGCTCGCAGGGACTTAACTAGCATATTATCAATATAAACCTCCATTGATTTACCTATTTGTTCTTCGAACATTCGATTTACTAGGCGTTGATAAGTAGCACCAGCATTTTTTATTCCGAACAGTATTACATTATAGCAATAGGTGTGAGCACGTGATTTTTGCTTCACGAGACAATCGCTCCAAAAGAAATAAAAAATAACAACAATTGATCCCGTTGTACAATTTTGGGATTTTTACATGGCACTTCGTTAATTGTTTATGACTTTGGCCCATTTTTACTTTATTAAAACAAAATACAAAAAATGTACGTGTCATGCATAATCTGAACCGTAACATGGTTGTTAAATAGAAAAGCATAGACAGGCATCTTTGCCCGTGATTTTGTTTTGTTTGATTTTTACCTGTTTTGAATTATTTTAATGTGTGTGCAAATAATTGTATTAGGTGTTTATTTTAATTTGATTTTACTTAGTTTTGTATTTTTATAATAAAAGAAAAAAAAAGACCATACTTACCTCTATCTCCGAGACCGCTAAGTATAGGTAAAGTTGCCCATCCACCTTTGGGGTGTGAACAAATGGCGGGCTCGACAGGTAACGTTTGAGTTCCTCCAAAGCCTGTTGATATTTTGGTCCATGCGAAGTTGCTCTTTTTCTTAAGCAGTGAGAAGAAACAGTGAGAATAAATCAACCCATGGCGGTTATGTGTCCCGTTAACCTTTGTACACCCTTGTCATTATCAACAACTGTGATGTCTTCGATTGCCTTGATTTTATCGGGGTTGGTTCGATTCCATTATTTGATACCATAAAGTAGAGGAATTTTCCAGAGCCGACCTGAATGCATATTTCTCAAGGTTAAGCTCCATGTTGTACTTTCTCAGTATGTTGAAGGTCTCCTACAAATGTTTCAAATGG